GGCTCCCTGCAGCGCCCAGCTCCACTACTCCGTGCCCGAGGACCGAGAGCCGGGCTTCTCAGTGGGCGACCTGGCCAAGGACCTGGGGGTGGAGGTGCGGAGTTTGGCTGCCCGCAACCTGCGCCTGGTGAGCGAGGGTGGGCAGCGGCACTTCCAAGTGAACCTGGCAGCCGGTGTGCTGCTCCTCGATAGCAGGCTGGACCGGGAAGCACTGTGTGGGCAGAGCCCCACGTGCTCCCTGCACCTCCAACTCGTCATGGAGAATCCCCTCCAGCTCCACCGCATTGAGGTGGACGTCCTCGATGTGAATGACAACGCGCCCAAGTTCCCCAAGCCAGAGGTGGTCTTGGAGATCACTGAGGTAGCCAACCCTGGGACTCGGCTACCCTTGGAGGTAGCAGAAGACCCGGATATGGGCTCCAACTCCATCTCCACCTATGAGCTCAGCCCAAGTGAGCATTTTGCCCTGAGTATCAACGTGAGAGGAGATGGCGTTAAAATGCCAGAGATTGTGCTTCAAAAAGCACTGGATAGAGAGAAAGTGGCTGTTCATCACCTAACGCTGACAGCCCTGGATGGAGGAAATCCAGTGAAATCCGGCACTGCTAAGGTTACCATCCATGTCCTGGATGCAAATGACAACCCTCCTGTCTGCGACCCACCCATATCCACAGTACATCTGGAGGAGAACATGCCAGTGGGCACTCTGGTCACCAAATTGAATGTCACCGACCTGGATGAAGGTCCCAACGGGGATGTGGAATATTCTTTCAAAACTAGCAATAATGCACCTGGTAAATTCACCAAGCTGTTCTCCTTAGATCCCCAGACAGGAGAGATCAGGACCAAAGGCCTGCTGGATTATGAGGAATCCAGTGCTTACGAGATTGCGGTTCGAGCCAGGGACAAGGGATCCCCAGCCATGGAAGGACACTGTCACCTGCGAGTGGAATTAATTGATATCAACGATAACAGCCCAGAGATAGTGCTGACCTCTCTCTCCAGCCCGGTGCAGGAGGACGCAACCCCAGGCACTGTGATTGCCCTCATTGGTGTGAAGGACAGTGATTCTGGTGACAATGGGCAGGTCCGTCTGCAGATAGCAAAAGAGCTTCCATTTAAACTTGTGTCATCTTTTAAAGAGCATTTCTCACTGGTCACAAATGGTCCCCTTGATCGGGAGAAGGCCAGTGGATACAACATCACAGTGAGAGCTGTGGATTCAGGGTCCCCACAGAGGGCCACGCAAAAAACATTTTACCTCCGAATTGCTGATGTGAATGATAATGCGCCAAATTTTTCCAGCCCTTTTGATACAGCTCATGTTCAGGAAAACTCCCTTCCTGGAACTTCTGTTTTTTCAGTGTCAGCGTCTGATCCCGATGAGGGTAGCAATGCCAAGCTATCTTACTCCATCCTGCACAGTGGGATGCAGGATGTACCCATCTCAACCTACTTCCGAATAGACCAGGATAATGGCACCATCTACACTGTGAGAGCTCTGGACTATGAGCAGGATAAGGTGTTCCAGGTGCCCGTGGAGGTGAAAGATGCTGGGTCTCCTGTGCTGAGTAGTACTGCTGTGGTCCACGTGTTCGTCCTGGATGAGAATGACAATGCACCCACCATTGTCTACCCATCCGTCCCTAAGGGCTCTGCCTTCCACCAGACCATCCCGGTCTTGGCAGAACCTGGCTATCTGGTCACCAAAATTGTAGCTGTTGATGCCGATAGTGGCCATAATGCCTGGCTGTCCTACCAGCTGCAGGAGACTGCTGAGGCTTTGCCTTTCCAAGTGGAACGCCGCTCTGGAGAGATAAGGGTTGCACAGGCTCTCAGGGAGTCAGAAGATCCCCACAGGCTGGTGGTTGAAGTGAGGGACAATGGGACACCATCCCTCTCAGCCTCAGTGGTAATACTGATTTCTCCAGAGGAAAATAGCGTGCAGGACTTTGCCAAGTCCTTGGACCTCCCCAAATCTTCTCCCAAGGATACCAACCTAACCCTTTACCTCATCATCTCCTTGGTGTCCATTTCCCTCGTGTCCTGTGTGATGTTTGCTGTGGTGGCTGCCCGATGTCTCAGAGCTGGTGCTGGCAGCTGGACCTTTGCAGGTTGCTGCCGAGGGACTGGCCGCAAGCCTGCCTCACATTTCCGTGGGCAGATGAAGCCAGATGGTTTCATCAAGTACCTGGATGTGGGAGGAGCGGGCTTGACCTCCCAGGCACAGAATTACACCTCGTGTTTCTCACCTATGTCTGACCAGAGCGATTTCCTCTTTGTAAAACCTTTCAGCCATTCTAGCACTGCGGAGACTGTGGCTGCCTATGAGCAGGTGACCAGCACCTTAGCGAGTCCCTGCGATGGGGTAAGAGATGGGTGTTTCTTACTGTCCTGTCTGCAATGCGTGACGGTCCGTAATACCCAGGCTAGGTGGCTGTTCTCTGGCTGTCCTTCCATCTAAGAAGGTGGCTTCAGGGAATGTGTGTCACTGTCACCTCCTGGGAGGTGGCAGGTGAAAGTTTTGGCTCAGCTTGATAGAGGTGGGGGAAGGGGTTTGGCATCACTGTAAAAATCAAAGATTGCATGTTTGCAGAAGTGGAGAGTTTAACCTTGGCCCCGTTCGTACTCTTTTCTTTTTAAAGTGATTCTTAGCATGGTCAGGGACATGGTTTTTTGGTATTTAACTTCTTGATACTGTTTAACCCCTTTATTCTGCGTGGCCTGTGAACCACTACGTGGGAGGAGGTTATCTGAAAGCAATGTTTGTCGGTGTTTCTTCTGCTCTTTTTTAGGGGTGCATCGTAGAAATTTCTCACTTCTTAGCTCCCCAAGTGTTATTAAGTACTGATTGTGTCCTGACCAGGGATCATTTTCCAGCTTGGTTGTTTTCAGTGAGGGGCTGAGTTCACTGTTTCGGCACTGAACATGTTGATATTTTTTGCGAATATCTCAGTGACCTTACATGCCCTTGGGCTTGCAGAGACCTAGGCAGCGGCATGCTTTGAAAACTTCAGCCACTTGTATTCAGATGTCTAAACGTGGATGTAGGTGTCTGTATTTAGCTGTAGCTTTTATAACTTTGTGATATAAAAAGTAAAGTATTTTTGTGTTGTAAATGCCTGCCCTAAATTTGAAAGTGGTAATTACAACAGGAATTCTGAATATAGATCGGGAAGGGCTTATCTAGTGCAGGACTGTTTGTCAGCGTGTGCAAAAATGTGTGTCTGAAATCTGGAGGGCATGTATTTCAACAGCTTAATTTGCATGCAGCAGGGGTACCAGTGGGGCCTCGATTTTAGGGGAGTAATTTATTCTAATATATTCTTTCATGAGAATCATCAAAGCTGTGGAGAAATTAATGAAATCACATCTACTAAGTAAAAATCTAGGTCAGCTGTACCCATCTTCACTTTTCCTTAGTAATTGCATGTACAAGCAGAATAATCCTATAAAACTGATGTTCCACTGTATGGACCATGAACTGCTCATTCCTAAGGTTACTGCGAGAAATGTTGTCCTTCCCAGGTAGCACTTTACCACTCTGGAGTTAATTAAGATTAGGATTTTCGGAAGTGTGTGTCTTCCAGACAGAGAACAGTTCTGCTATTTAGCCCCCTTCACAAAGGCGTGATTCAAACAGGAATACGCAAGCCTGCTTCATGTCCTTCCTTATTTACAAAATGTCCATTGTCTGATGGTAAAATAACACAGGCAGAAAGCGATACGGGGGCTTACTAATGAAGTTACAAAGTGTGCTGCTGTGTCTGAAGTTTATTGTGTCTCCTAAACAAATAATGCTTTTTTTTTTCTTTTGCTGTCGGAAGTTTATTCTTTTCTATGAGGACAGAAAAATATTGTAGTGCTCTGAGGCCACCGCATCTAGGAAAAGTCATTCAAATACAATGTGTGAAATCAAGATCTCAGGCAGGCCTTTTTCAGGGCAGAAGAAGGACAGGTTAGGAATGTCTGTTATCATTTTACCTTCTGGCATTAAAAGCATCTTTCTTAGTATCAGTTAACGCTGCCACCAGCACTACTCCCCCCTCCCTACCCCACTCCTCCAAGCTCATTACTTCGGTGCTATTGCTCCTGCTGATTTGATGCCCTTATCAGTTTATTTCAAGCTTCATTTCTTTCACAGCCTGGTTTCCTGAGCTGCTTTGGAAGATTATTCGCTGAATGGTTTTTGTCATGCTTTTTAGTATTCATGCTGGTTCAGAAATACTCTGAAAGTGTGGGGAGGGAGCTTTCTTTTTGTTCTAATTGATTTTCTTTACTTGGAAAGAACACGCTGATATTCCTGACTGAAATAATCCAGGATCAGTTCGCTTTCATTTTCAAAGGCAAGAATGGAGGTATTAAAACTCTTCTATTTTCTCTGCAGCAAGCTCAACCTAACACAGACTGGCGCTTCTCTCAGACCCAGAGACCTGGAACGAGTGGGTAAGTGCATTTTTCTCCATGTACGTGTCTGGTGAAGGTTTCTTTCCTCTGTGTCCCACTTTCAGTGCTGGAAAGTCCTTGACTGGCAGGTCTGAGGACGGGTGTTCCCTGTCATTGGTAGCATTGTCTGGCCAAAGAGTTGGAAATAGGGTTGTTTCTGTGTCAGCTGTGCTTGATGACGGTGGGACAGCTGTTGTTTGCAATGGTGTGCCTGGTTTTGGTGTCTACAGCTCAGGAAGGATGGGGGGGGGGGCTCCAGGGGAAGTTGTAAGATGGTTAAAAGACTGGAAAACATGCTTTACAGAGAAAGGCTTCTTCTCTAAAGCAGATTTTGAACATTTAGACTATATTCTGAGTTCAAAATCTTGATTCCCCATGCTACATAGAGGCCACTGGAAAACACTGTGAGAGTCCCTTTACCAGCCATGGAGCCTCGAGCTCTGTGCTGCTGAAGCCTCTCATGAAGAGCTCCAGATCCAACTCCATTTGCTGGGGAGTTTGGAGTCTTTCTTGCATTCCTTGGGAAGTGCCATCTCCAACATGGGGTGGTTCATTGGTTCATCCAGGTGAGGAACCCTCACAGGAAGGAGGTTTTCTAAAGTCTGGTCTTGCTCTCAAAACCATGGCTGTATTTTTGCCAATTTATGTGTAATGCCAAAAAGATAAGATGCCCTGGCAGCAGAACAGAGACCTGCCTCCCAAGTGAGTACCCCTTTCTTGGCTGTGCATCTTATTGCCTCTGGCCCAACCAAGTTTGCTTTTCTTAGTACACAGTGAGAAAACTTTGATGAGAAAATGTTGAGCAAGTGCCCTTCACTTCTCCCATCTTCCTTCCTGGTTCATAGGCAGGGGCAGGGTGAACTTCCTTGAGTACCATCAGGATAAAAAAGGACTTAAACTGGGAGTCTGTCTTCCTCTGTAGATACCCCAACCAGAGATTACTGTGTATGGAGAGATGGGCTCAAAGATGATTTATATGTGAAAAGATAATATCTTTTGAGGCAAATCCAAGGATTATACCCTTGGGGCAATGAGGAGTAAGTGCAGATGCTGTGCTTGCTTGGCTGGTTGAGTCTGGCACTGTATCTCTATGGAAAAGAGAGGAGATAATGCCTTTGTGTTTTGTTGTTCCTGGCCACTTGGGCACCTGTGAAGGTTTAAACAGTACCACAGGGAGCATCAGGTCCTGGATTTCAGTGTTGGAGCTTGCAGTTAAACATCTGCAGCAGCTGGTTGTGTCTGAGTCTTTCTTTGAGTCTGGCTTGATATTTTAGCTTAACAGAAAATTAAGACTACTATAGCTAACTTGTTGCAGCAATTAAACTTTGTTACTAGGCTCTTCTAGCTGACAAAGCCAAAATGGGGTGAGGGTTTGATGTGAAGTGTATAAAGCATTCCCACTAGAAACCAGCTGTGGACTTCAAAACAAGGCTATGACTGGAACAGTTTTCTCAGAGCTCTGTTGAATTGCCCATCGCTGGCAACATTTTAATCAAGAAAAATCTTTCCAGCCATTTACGCTCTAGTTCAAATGACAATTAACTGGAAAGCCCTGTTAATACAGAAGTGCGCCAAAGCAGCTGTAATAGTTTTGCTACGAGAAGTGAGTAAATGAGCCCCATCAGATCAAGCTCTTGCTCCTTCTAGCATCATGCCAAAGCTCTTTGGGTACAGTGCTGATGCAGTGCAGATGTACTTAACTGAGTGACAGGGACATTTTCTGAGGTCATGGGCCAACAGCCCTCACCCCAGCCTGTGCCTGAAGGTCTTTACAAGCTCCAACCCCTTCCCAGTGCCTAAGTGGGAGCAGCAGCACATGGGGTGGGAAGGCCAGGAGGAAAAGCAGCCTCAGCCCCTGCTCATGGGGAGCTGAACTATCATGACATACTGGTTCTGGTGCACAAACCGTGATGTTACTCCTGATGGCTTGTGACCTGGTAGTCCCTGAAACAGCCACCAACAGCTCATGTCAGTGCTGATTGTGGCAGGGACTCCCATAGCATTGGCTGCGCAGGCTGACCCCCCCAGTTTGGAGAGGGGCTTTGCCTGAGCACAGATTGGTACAACTCAGTGGATTTTAATTTCTGCTTGTTTTCCCCATCTGCCTGTGAGCAGATTCCACATTTGCAATGAAACAGCTCTTGCTGATATTTATTTCCATTTCTTTTGTCCTGTTTTCAGTTAAATCAAGGGAGATGCTTTTGCTCTAAACCTGTTACAACACTAAAGGATGGAAATAGAAAGTGCTATAATATGCTCAGTGCCCAGCCCTGACATCTCTCTGGTGATCAAACAGACAAATCCTGGAGAGCAGCCTGCTCTCCGCTGTGCTCTTCTCAGGCTTTTTCATATGTGAATTCCCCAGGCACCGGTTGGTAGTACAGGTATTAAAAAGGGTGCAAGGGCAGCTGCCTAAGCCCTGCCAGTGGTTACTCTCTCCGATGTTATCTCACATATAACTGTGTCTTCTGCTGACAGGCAAACCTCTTTAGCACTGTGAGCTCGCTGAACTGCAGGACTCTGTTTGGTGCTTGGGGACCACAGGCCACCTCTTAGCTGAAAAGAGAAAGAAGGGTTGTGCTCTTAACTGCATTTGCCCGACCCAAATTAAATAGCAATAAAGACAAGGCAGCTCAGGCTGGTGATTTGAATGGATCCCAGAGAGAGTCTGGCATGTACCCTAAGCCAGAAAGCAGGCTTAAACCTATGTTGTGATTTCTCCTTTGTTGTCTTTGCAGGAGTTGGAGAAGGGAACAATCCTGTATTTTCTTAGCATAGCATTGCCCACCAAAACAAATCCCACATGTCTCCAGGTACCTGGAACCAGACAAGCTCAGGGTAATCTCAAAAAGACAGGGATGGTCTCTTGATCTCGTACATTGCTGCATTCAGAGTGCGGTTACGGGACAACAAAGAGATTTTTTTCTTTGTTCTGAAACACAGGAGAGGTCTGGTACACATGCTCAGGAAATAAGAGCTCAGACAATATCCTCAGAAAATATGGTAGGGAGTCAGACCTGAGTAGAGCAATTCTCGATTAATCTTGTTTGGGAGAAACAGGAGGATAGATTAATTCACTTAATGATGTTTATATTTTGTTTTCTAAAAAAAAGAAGCATTCACGCTGTCTCTGGGCAAATGTAAATGAATACAGAATGATATCGAGCAGCAGATGCCATCCCCAGACAAATCAGATCAGTGGCTGTAGTAGAGATTATAGCAATGAATTGTCCAAAGTGGAGTAGACGTGGAGTCTGACAGCACTCTGTGGAGTGGGATCCCTGTGGGATTGTCGGTGTGGGGTTTCCCTGAGGGGGTGGCATATGGAAGGGAGAGCACAGGGCCTGGAACTGGTACAAGTGACTTATCTTGCTGGGTTTTTTTACTATTCACCAAAGGAAAAGAGATGAGGCTCATGCCCTGCACATTCATGGTACTCGCCTGACTGGCAGCTCTTTGTTTTACTCTCTGTGTGATGGTTTATTCAGGAAAACACCAGGCTCCAGTCAGGATTTCCCTTCTGGAGGAGCAGGAGTGTTTTGAGTTTCTCACAGGTGGGCATGGGCAGGTGAGAAGAGCTGGTGTGTCCTGAACTGCTCGTGGGAGGAGTGGGGACAATCTCATGTGTGTGGGTAGGCCAGGAGGAGATCCCAGGCAGGAGGCACCCCAGAAATGGTGGCGGGGGACTCACAGGGAGGTGAGAAGCAGTGTGAGAATCCTCAGACAGGAGTGGAGAGAGGAGCAAAGCATACAAGGAACATATGGAGTGCCATTTCATGCCCCCCTTCCATTTATTCTCTCCAATCCTAAATCTCCTTGTGGTAATGCTTTCCAACGCTGTTGCCAACCAGGCTTCCCCTCTCAGGCTGAAAACAGCCAATAATGATGTTGGCTTCGGTTGCCCATTAAACAGCATCACGGCTGCTCTGTCTGACCCCAGCCATCCCCCCTGCCTGTGCAGGGGGAGGAAGGAGAGGGCGGCAGAAGGGGTTTGGGACTGACAGGAGGTACTGCTGTGAAGGCAAGGAGGTTTTTTATTATTTTTTTGGTTTGTTATCATGCCTGAGCATTGAGAGGTTGGCTCACAGGACTAACAGAAGCCTGCCTGTGTGTGGTGGGGGACAGGGAGGAGAAAAAAGATATCCCAAGAATGGTCCTTGAAGCTCTTGGGAGCATTCTTGGGGCTCAGACCATGCAGGTACATGTGCATGGCTGCAGCTCAGGGGGCTTCTGGTGTGTGTTTGGGGTGGTCAAGCACAGCAGCACCCCAATGTACCAGGACATGCTCCCACCAAGGGGACACAGTTTGTACAAGTCTGAGTGGGCCATCCCAGTGCACGCAGCAGCTGCGGCCAGAGGACATAGGCAAAGGCTTATGCAGCGTGGGGGCGGATATGCAACAGAAAGACAACTGGCCACAAATGCAGGCTTTAGCAAGTCCTTCCTAAAAAAAATACTTGGTGCACCGCAGCTGGTGGCACCGTGATTCCTAGGGAAGTCCAGGAGACCTGGAAGCTGACACTGCTGGGCTACACAGGCAGCTCAGCTCCTCATTGTCAGGGGCAAGAGGAGCAGCAGAAGGAACTTCCACCCTGGGAAGCTGAGGAAATAATTACAAGCCTCAGATTTCCATCTCAAATGCACTGGAGGGTTGAAGCCAGTAGTGGTATTCGCTTTACCGGGGCAGGTTCCACATATTTTGCAAGTAAACTAAAAGAAGGGTTAAAGTCTTTGGGCCCGAATTACTGCTGCTCCTGGTTCACATTCATCTGCCTGTGCAGATACTTGAGGATTGAGTGATTTCTCCACAGCTCCTGCAGCACATGAAGCATGGAGCTGCTCTCAGCTGCAACCCCGGGGCCTTGGGAAGGTGTAAACAGAGGCTGGCAGCCTGAAAAATCATAGCACCTTCTGGAAATCCCTTTGGGGTCATCACTTTCCAGGAACAGCTATAATTTAAGTGACCCAGTGTTCACCTAAGATTGAGAGCCTCTTCGCTT